TTTGAGGGAGAAATCTGGGGTCTCCGACTCTTGAGTTCTCAGGGAGGAGGAGTCTGGGGGCCTGGACTCTGGGGTCCTGGGGGGAGCAGGACTGGGGTAGGAGCCTGAGAAAGGAAGGAGGGGTCTGGAAAGCGCACCAGGATTGGTTGGAAGCAGAACTGGCCCGGGCAGAGGTTTGGTTTGGCGTGAGTCCGTGAGAAACAAGTGGACAGAGCAGGGATTGTTCCTCCAGGGTCCCCCCTCCCCAGCACCCCCCTAGGTTTGGCAGCCTCAGCTCTTCCCAGGCCCTGGGGACGTCGGGACATTTCCCACCACCCCTCCCCAAGGCCCCTGCTTTCCACTCGGCTCACAGCTGCCCAGCCTCAGGACCTGGGAAAACGGCCCCAACCGTGCGGAAAGGCTGGCCGAGGTTAATGCCGGGCAGATGAGGAGAAATACAAGCCCTGTGTCCTCAGAGGCCAACAGTCCCATCCCCTAGGTTTGGGGGCCCAGGACTACCCCCCAGTTCCCGCAGAATCCAGGAGTCCAGGTGCCCAGCCCTCTACCCACAGGCTCTGGCACTGCCCTCTCTCAGCCTGCAGAGCCTCTGTTCTTATCTGCACACCCTGTGCTTCCGGCCTGCTCTCCCCACTGCCGAGACCCTCTCCCAGTCACTGACCACCCCACCCAGACCTGGGGGCCAAGGGACTGCCCCCATCCCTCCCCCACTCTCCAGCAACCACGGCTCCACCCACGCTGCAGTGGTGATGCATAACCCTGTGACCACCCCAAGAGGCCCACCCTGCTCGGAATTCACTACTGATCCCAGGTGGCCGCACCCAGGCCTGATAGCCTCACTTTCTCGCCTTTTCCTCATTGCGATATTGCTGTCTGAAGTGATCTTCGCCCCTGGTTGGCTTGCTCATCCTCGGCCCACTGCTTCCCCCCAGCCTCTCTGTGGCCTCAGGATGGAACAGAGCTACTGGCCCTGAGTAGAAATTCAGGAAATGTTATGACTGTTGCCAATAAGAAGAGAACAACTTGCCTGGTTGGTGTGGATCTGTGGTTGAGTGTTGACCTACGAACCAGGAGGTCACAGTTCATTCAATTCCCGGTCAGGGCACATGCCTGGGGTTGCAGGCTTGATCCCCAGTAGGGGGTGTGCAGGAGGCAGCCAATCCATCATTCTCTCTCATCAATGATGTTTCTCTCTCTCTCTCTTCCTCGCTGAAATTAATTTTTAAAAATATTTTTTAAAAAAGAAAAAGAGCCGAACTGGTTTGGCTCAGTGGATAGAGCATCGGCCTGCGGACTCAAGGGTCCCAGGTTCGATTCCGGTCAAGGGCATGTGCCTTGGTTGCGGGCACATCCCCACTGGGGAAGTGGAACAACAAAGCAATGTTTCTCTCTCCCCTCCACCCTTCCTCTCTCTCTCTCTCTTTCAAATCAATAAATAAAAAAAATCAATAAAAAATCAATAAAATATATTTAAAAAAGAAAAAGAAGAGAACACCTAGGCCGTGTAGCTCAGTTGGTTAGAGTGTCTACCCGATAGGCTAAGGTTTCCGGTTTAATCCCCAGCCAGGGCACACACAAGAAGCAACCAATGAATGCATAAAGAAGTGGAACAACAAAGCAATGTTTCTCTCTCCCCTCCACCCTTCCTCTCTCTCTCTCTCTTTCAAATCAATAAATAAAAAAGTTAAACCCTAGTTGGTTTGGCTCAGTGGAAAGAGCTTCAGCCTGAGAACTGAAGGGTCCTGGGTTCGATTCCAGTCAAGGGCACATGCCTCGGTTGCAGGCCGTAGAGGGCGTGCAGGAGGCAGCCAATCAATGATTCTCATCACTCATGTTTCTATCTCTCTCTCCCGCTCCCTTTTTCTCTGAAATAAAAAAAAAAAATTTTTTTTAAAGTTAATCCCTGACCAGTGTGGCTTAGTTGAATGAGCATTGTCCTGTGCACCAAAAGGTTGTCAGCTCTATTCCTGGTCAGGGCACATGCCCAAGTTGTGGGTTGGGTCTCCAGGGTGCTTATGGGGGGCTGGGGGCCTGGACTCCAGGGTCTGAGGGAGAAGGAGGTCTGGACTCCTGGTCTGAGGGAGGAGGGACTGGGGGCCTGGACTCCTGGGTCTAAGGGAGGAGGGGGTCTGGACTCCTGGGTCTGAGGGAGGAGGGGCTGGGGTACACTGGACTCCTGGTTTGAGAGGAGGGGCTGGGGGC